TTTTAATAGAAGATTATTTCTTTTTTTTATCTTTTTCATCTTTCACACCCTTCTCATCTTTTCATGTCTCACCCTTTATCTTCACCTATTTATCGATACGAAAAAAAAAAACAAGTCCTGCTTCCTATTCACATTTTATATTATCTACAACATTTCCAACAAAATCAATCACAATTTTGAATGATTGTAAAAGTAAAGAAATTGAAATTTTAGTCGATTTCTAATTACGTTTTTAATAGAAGATTATTTCTTTTAATGAAGTAATTTATTACTACTTTCTTCACTCTCCCTTTCTACTCGCTGGCACCTCTTTTCATTCTTTCTTTCGCCTATTTATTGACGGGTGGGTGGCTGTAATTGGGGTGGATTATGGAGGGCTCGCAATGAATCTTCGACGGCTGCAGATGATGGCCGGTTCTGCCCTGGGCCGCCTGCCCATATATTAGCGACCCGATCGATCTGAAACAGGCCCACTCGAAAGCCCGCAATATGCTCCCTCCTCACCCTTCGCCTTTCCACCCCCGCTTCAACCCTACACCAACTCTGTCTCTCTTTCGCCCTTTGCACAGCCAAACCCTTTTTTTACGTGCGACTAGAAAGAGAAAAGCATACATATCTACACACAAGATTTCTTAACTTATTAACTCATTCGATACTTCCAGAACTTATCCTTTTCAATATATCCAATTTATAGTGGTGCACTTTTCACGCGGCGAGTGTTATTATTTATTATCCACATACATTTAGAAACCCACATAAGCTTTCAGTTTCAGCGAAATTATGATAAATTTATTAGAAACTATACAGTTGAAGCAATAGAAATTATTCATTCTATTATAGTTTTTTTTTATGTATTTGGGGTTTACAGAAAAGAAAGAATTGTAATTGAAAAAGAATTAGACAAAAAATTATTTAATTTCATTCATTTTACAGTTGAAGCAATAGAAATTATTCATTCAATTATAGTTTTTTTTTATGTATTTGGGGTTTACAGAAAAGAAAGAATTGTGATTGAAAAAGAATTAGACAAAATAATTGTTAATTAATTTCATTCATTTTCTAAGAAAAAAATATTGATTATCACAGAAAATGTAATTAAATGTTACCTCAAATAATCATTAAACTTACAGCAGAAATTTAAAATTAATATAATTTCATTATCTCCACAACCAAACCCTTCATGATGAAATCCGCCTTAACTTATTACATCCACCCCTTAAAGGTAAAAAAATCGATGTTTTAACCTTCATTAATTTCTTGTATAATGAGTACCAATTAAAATTCCACCTATATTTATTTATTTTACCCCCACGCTGCGTGCGTTTATTTTCATATTTTCTCCTTCCCCCTACAATCTCATTATGTTTTTTTTTATTAAATTAATAATAAACCGCGCGCATACGCACGTACGTTGAAGTGAAGAAGAAAAAAAAAACTCAAAGTTATATCGTTAGGGCTTGTTGGAAAAATATGCAGCGGCCGACGTAATTAAAAGAATTAATTATATATTTAAATTATTCTCTCTCTCTTTTTGTTGTTGTTGTTGGTTTTAACTTCCTGCTGTTTATTTAGTTATTTCTCTTTATTTATGGGGTGGTTTCATAATTTGTGTCTCATCATATTTCGCTGTATATTTATTTCTCTTAATGTTTTTGGGGGGTGGTTTTGTGAATTTTCGTGTGCTTTTTTTTTTGGACAATCGAATGTGTGTGGGATTGGGGGAGAAGGGTGGAAGGTTGAAGGGAGGAAATGAATTTGTAGTGGACTTGTTCGCCTCGGTTGGCGTATTCTTGAATTCTGAATTATTCGATACCGCATTTCATTCGATCCCGCCAGTAATTGGATAAAATAATTGAGCCGGCCAAGGCTATGTATGTGTTATACATGAATGGATGTAGTAACAGAGTGTGTGTGTGTATGTATAGAGCGAGTGAAGCGTGTATCAATTTAAAAAATGGCGCAGCCTGGAAATTAAATTCTTCCTCTCTATTTGAATAGGATATTATTTCAATTATCAGTTACACCTCAGCCCCATCGTTTTTCATTTAGATTTTACCATCTCCGGCGCATCCACCCCCCTTTTTTTTCCATCCCTTTAACGCCTTTGCAACAATAGTTATTTATTCGCTTGAGACATATTACAGCCTTAGCTCTTCCGGTATTTTAAAGGTTACAATTTAAAAAATAAATAAAGCATTACATTTTAGGATAATTTGCAGGAGAATATGATCTTACATAGTTTAAATGTTACAAATGAGAAGTTTTGCATAGGTTTGGTTTGAGGGTTTGAGTATTTGTAATGTTTAAATGTGGAGTGTTGTGAGTGTGTGAATTTTGTTAAGAGATGAAGTGTGGGTGGAAGAGGAGTTGTGAATGAGTAGTGTGTGGGATTACTTGACGATTGAATGTTGAATTGATGGTTTCTACAAGTGCGCTGAGAATCGAATCTTCGTAGTTGGAGCATATTGCAAGTATTGAGGGAAGGAATTTTAACTTGGAGTTTCTGAGCTTTGAAACAATTCAATTTGATACGATACACCGAAAACACACGATCATTAGCACCAATATTTTTTTTTTGTTAATATCCATTTGCAAAAAGAACGGAAATTGACTTCTCTCACGATTTTTTTTTAATTCCGCGATTGAGGAATCGCGTCAACCCCCAACGATTAATGAACCTCCCAAACACGCTCATTTTATTTCATCCCCTAAATTATTGTTTCTCATTCACGTAACGCAGAAAACAACATCTAACTAAAGAAACTAAATCCATCTTTTTATTATTCAAACTGTTGCAATTTTTCTGTAAAGTTATTTAGTTTTTCAATTAATTATTGTTCTCGCTTTTTTTTTTGTAAAATATCGTTGGTGATGTAAATTCATGTACGCGTTTTATTGTTTAACAGTGCGAAAAGAGCGCGGTCTGCAGCACTTCGACGAACCAATTGTGTTTCAATTATTTTAGCAAAACACCCAGGCAGTTATTGAAATCCAATAACGTCATATATAATAGAATATATTGGAAATTGCGTATTGCCATGCAAAAGCCGGTCCGTTTCCAAATTATATAAATTAATTTATCAACAGAGAGAGAGAAAAAAAATAAATTATTATTATCAATCAAATTCCAATCTAATTGATATTGCTCTAATATTATGTGCAAAATTTAACTAACTTTTATCCTCATGAATGTTGGATGAATTCATCAGCGCTTAGCATATCGAATTGTACAGTGTATATTTTTTTTTGTAGTATTAATCCTATTAAGATGGAGTATGATTGGAGGAAAAGGGCAGAAGTATGAATAAAAGCGTCGAGGGAGCGGGTAAAGATTAATTTACAATTCTCGCTTTCGAGCGACGACGAAGGGTTGGAATTTTATTGAAGGTATTCACCCTCCATTGTTTGGTTATTAAGACAATGCGCGCGCGGGGCGGATTTAATGAGTTAATCCATTGATTTCTCGCAGCGAGGGTGAAAAATAAAAACGAACAAAGAAATTCCACCCTTGCGCACTTCTCCAATAATATCTTTTGAAATTAATATTTTCATTAGTTCTAGTTTAATTTTTTAATATTAGTTTTCAAACTTTTTGTCGTGAGGGTTAAAGCAGGAGAATCTGCAGGGGTTGGTTGGGTTTTTGATTGATGAATACGTAACACGGCGAACGCTTTGCCGTTTTGTCAGAGTATTGAGTTGTCGGAATAATAATGTAGCAAAATTCCCCCCGTTTTTGTTGTGTTTGCGTTTAAAACGTAGGAGAGGGGAATGGATGTGAGGGATGGAATTATGCGAGAGGGAAAAAGGGAGAGTTTCGGTATCCAAATTAACCGAAAATGTGATTAATGCGCATGTAAACGCGTTTTGCGGATGTAATCTTTTATCTTGTAAATATTTCGAAATCCATATTTACTGCTTCCAACTAATTCCCATGCTAATTCCCGATGTGTATACGTTATTATTCCATTCCGCACTTATCGTCGTCGATCTCTAATGGCAACATAACTTTAATTGAATGCGAACTAAACCTCAAAATAAATATTTTCTCGCAAACTTCCTTCGAGAAAACCTCCTTCCTCCTCTATACACAAACCAAAATCCATCGTTTGTTATACACTAATAACACCACAAGATAATTTAAATAAAACCGTTTAATCCTTGTTAAACGAATAAATAAATCTACTCGAAATTCGCTGTATTTCAATTGTAGAAGAAACTCGTATAACGGTTTTAACAACCCCATTTACAAAATAATCAAAAGCGTCGTTACTTCTTCCAGCGAACGCAATAAAAACGCAAATATTAAATACACATTTTTGCACTTTATGCTTTTCTACTCAAATAATCAAGACTTGTATAAAATATTTAAAAAATTTACTTAATTATTAATAAATCCGTATATGATCGAGATTTCAATATTAGCAGTTTCAATTGGTTTTTAATCTAGTATGTAGTGGGATGGTATGCGGGTTTATAATGTAAACTATACGTTTTATTTCCAGTACGGTAATTTTCAATTTCATATTGCAATGTGTTCATTAAAATTGCAATTGATTTTC